TCTTGGTATAGTTTTAAATTGACCTTGATGATACCCATGGGCTTTTAGGAGAGAAGAAACTAACTTGGCATGTCTAATAACTGGTACTGTTTTTCTGAAAACTTTGTTCATATTCCTTCTGCCATAAAATACAGCCAATTTTAGATGTCTTTAGAAACTTCTAATATTATATTGCCCTTTGAAAGTTTGCCTTTACAAAAATATTAGATGAAACAAAGAATAGAGTGGTAAAAGTATTTAGCAGCAATTTTGATATAAACCATGACTTAGGTTAAAACATGCTCCCCACTTTATAAACAAAGAAAATGAGTAGCTAGAGTATATGATTTTATGTTCAATGAGGTATTTTCATCGTTGTTTGTTTAAAGACCTACATTCAAAATAAATATTGACCAGTTTGGAAAAAATAAGTCTACATCTCCTACAACCATCTTAACATTTTTTCAGTGTTCACTAAATAAAAATAGGAGTGAAATAAGTTTCGTTGAGAGGCTGGTGAACACAATTCCAGGTTCTCAGTATTCTGTTTTCATTATATTTAGTATTTAGTGAAGTTATCTTTTCTTTTCAATTATTGTGCCTATGCCTCCTTTATTCCAGAAATCTACTGTTTTCTGAAATAGATTGTTAAAAAGGATTACAAGAGTAAATAAGACTCTACATCAAGTAATTATGAATTGCAGACAATCCACACAAATACAAGGCACTATGGGCTTTTAGAAGATGAAAGTAGCTAAGAATTCTTCATTTATTTCTAAAGGAACCTTTTGTAGATTAAAAAAAAGTCACTATCCCAATATTCTTCTTCAGCTGTGGAATGTCCTATCAGATACACCAGTGTTCTAAAAGCCTGTATTGTTTACTGGATTGATTTACAAAAGCCAATGTTCCCAATATGACTCATTTTGGTGGATGATGGGTCCCAAGTCCACCAGGCTCCCAGTGGCAGCCCTAGGATTTCGGATTGAGGGGGATTCTTACCAACTGCTCTGAGTGCAGTGGATCCTCTAGCATGGGTCAGGATATGGTGTCTTCGCAGGAGCAGACCAGCTAGGAATCTGGGAAACAGACTTTTCTTGAGTTAGCCATAGACCCTGTGCCACTCACATCTTATTCAATTGGGTAACCAAGTCAATAAGACCTAGGGAAATCCAAGTAGAGTGAGACCAGTCTTCCTTGGTGATGTTGTCAGTAAAGGATACCACACATTATTCAATATTGATGAGTAAACCAAGAATATTAAGTCCTTTCACTCTATCCATCAGTATGATTGATTTTTAACTCGTGTTATATATCTCTTTTCTCTAAATTGAACCATTATGTTTATGAGTTTTAAAGCTGTGAGTCTGTAAACATCTTGAGAAATTTCCACTAGAATAAAGCCTGAGGCTTTTTTACAGGATCATATCTTTGAAAAGATGAAGTTCTTTGTAACTTCCAAAAAGCAAAACAGAGGCAAAATTACAATATTAAAATAATGAATACCCAAAATGCTAATTAATTCCTAAAAGCTACAGTTGATCTTGAACGCCACCAAAAAAAAAAAAAAAAAGAAATAGAAACATGTTGAATCCCAGAAGACTGGCTGAGAGCTGCAAGGCCTTTGCTCAGTTGAATTCATTTGACCATTGTTTCATTAGCATCTGGTGAGCTCCCAATGATATCCAAGGTCCTCTCTAGATAGCCTAAAACAAAGATTAAAGTCAGAAAGTCCTGGCTGGGGTCTAGTTTTGCTTCAGGCACTCTCCACCTACTGACTGAACAAGAGCCAACCTGCTGTCCTCAGTTGATAATTCCTGTCATATGCTAACAGAGTTCAGAAGTTAGTAGCTAACTGATGGATTTTCACTGTGAAATATGGCTGTGTGATCCTCTCCAGCCTTTCCTTTTCTGCTTCTTCTCAGCTACTTTTCTAACTTCTCTACCAAACCCTTAGCATGCTTAAATTCATCTCAGTATTTAGTTCCAGAAGAGTAAACGTGATAGTTTATTATTTTCTGCAGAGTCTTAACTTCCTTTAGATGTGATAGTATAGAAGTTTGAGAAGGGTAAGTAGAAAGAATTCAATGTTTGATAACAGTTTCTAGCCTAGTGTGATTTTCAACACCCACAAGGATTTCCATAGAGTTAAAATATGTTAACTAACTAGATACAAAACGACATAACTATTTACATGATCTGGGATCAGGTGTCAAGTATTTGACCTTAGGTCTATTTGACTGTTAAAAAAAAATCATGATTGCTGTGTTACATGCTCCTGAGTGTAACAACTTGAACTTCCTGCTCCTGAGAGTACCAGGTAGAAGTAATTTTAAAGTGAATGAGAATAGATTCAGTCTATGAAACCCAGATGTGTTGGAGACCTAGAAGATCATGGCAACTCTAGTTATCATGGCTATACTAGGTAAGATGGCTATAGTAGTTAATGTGGCTATACTAGTTAATGTGACTATACTGGTCAGGTTTGTTAACTTGATTCAACCTAGAGTCACCTGGGAATAGGAAACATCAGTTGAGGAATGACTCTAGCAGACTGCCTTGTGGGAATGTGGATGGTACATTCTGTTTATTAATGATGAATGTAAGGTAGCTCAGCCCATTGTGAGTGTTGTTACACCTGGGAAGGTAGTCCTGGCATTTATAAGAAATTCCTCCATAGGTCTGTTTCAGTTCCAACATTCAACATCCTGCTCTGAGCTCTGGCCTTGGCTTCCTTTGCTGATAGACTGTAACTTGTAATTTGGATAAACTGTTTTCTTCCCAAGTTGCCAATGGTTATCACAGTAATATGAAGGAAACTATTAATAGTAATCATCAGAAAAAGAAGGGCATATAAATAAATTAGAACTATATAGCATTTCTCACCATAGAGAAAGTAAATTGCATCCTAGAATAACAACATCCTATTTCATGTTGTCTCTCAGATATTTGCTTGTCAGATCAGATACAGAGTTAGAGAAAATGGGTATACTCCTAATGCATATTGTGTTTGTTTTCCATCTTTATAAGAAGGAAGCATGAATTGAGCATCTTATAAGTGTCTAATGCTGTGCTTGAGCTAAGGACACACTAAGGAGCTACTGTGTATACAATGAAGCATGTAAGTAAATGGAAAATCCAAAGAAGATAGGAAACAAGTTCACATTTGAGGTTTCATATGAGATGACCTATGGTTTAGAGGCTGATAGGGAACACTTCATCAAATAGTTCAGAAAGTAGTGGATAAGAAGTAATTTTCAAAATTTGTCTTATAATAGTATATATTGTGAAGGACAGGAGTGTTACTGAGTAGAAGGGAGTAAAATCCAACAATAGATGTATTACATATATACACATATAATGCTGATCCAAATTAAACCTCCAAAGAATGGAGTGGAGAAGGTCACAACTGACTATCATCAAATGAAATTTTTCCAGTGCTTGGATTGGGTTATATCTAGTTGGTTTCTTGGCCAATGGAGCCCTGGGGGAATTTCCAAACTACGTAGACTATTGCCAAGGCTATAAGTTTCTCTCTACAAACTAACAGCAATGTGCCATTGCTGAAGTCAACAACTACACAACTAAGTAAACAGGGAGTAGTTGAGCTGCTGCCTACGTAGAGCCTCCATTTCTATGTTTCAGTATCTTTGTTACAGGAAGGTAGTCTGCATGCTGTCAAAAGATAAATGTAAACATGAAGTCAGAAACCGTTTATTGACAATGGTGTACTACTTGCAAGATATGCTAGGGCACAAAGCTTGTGGGAGTAACCAACCAATAACTGATTTAAATCAAAGCCTACTCCATGGAATAAAATCCGTATCAGTTACTATGTCAGTGATCAAGTATCTGAAACGATATACTATATATATGGACATGGACCTATGGTAAAACAAAATACTGATCTAAAATAAGAAAAAGCAAACAATGTAGCTATAAAATGACACCTAATTATATAGATCAATGCCTTGTTCAGCCATCACCAAAAAAATTCCTCCTGCAGCACATTTTGAAGAGACATAGTGCTGGATAAGGAGCTGTGAGTTCTTCCTCTGGATCTACAGGCAGCAAAGGTGACTAAGAAACAGCAATTCTTCCAGCAATGCCACAGTTATTCTAAGTCTACACCTCCTAATAGTGCCACATCCCGTGGGCCTACGGGCTGTAATTTTATTCAAGCCACCATGTGCAAATTAGAAACAATCAAGTCAGAAATATTAAGGAAGGAAAGAGTAAAGAATAAGTACTAAGTTTGGCTCAGTGAGTAGATACCAGGAGCATTGACTTGAGTCCTTTTAGGACAGTGGGAATAATGAAGAGAGGTCTGGGCAAGAATGCTGAATGAATGAGAAACTGGCATGCCCACAGACAATGCTGAGATACTGATCAGATATGAGCTGTATTCGTGATTACAAGTTTTGAGAAGAGAATTCTATAATGGGTAGTTGTATCTGAAAACTACTAACACAGAATTATAGATGCCCCGGATATGGATGCAGAACCTGATGGGCTTTCAAGTTGAGAATATCAAAACTGCAGTGGTTCCTCATGAAAGGGCCTAGTAAAGTATCTTAGGTACAGCATTGAGGATGAAAATGTAGCATGACTGTAGCTTAAGAATTAACAGTAAATTATAGCAAGAAAACAAAAGTAACTCTTGTAGAGTATAAATAAGTTTATTACATTGATTATGTGCTACCAGAAAGATGAAAGAAGTAAAAATAATGTCCCTTTTTCTTCTAAAGCACCTCAATGTTGACAAATAGGTTCCAAAAAGAAAACTTAACTTCTGTAAAAAAAAAAAGTATACGGTGAAATACACATGATGGATACAGCATAGTAACAGTAACATAGGCTTTTCTTTTGCAATCTAGAAGTATGAAAGGGAATATAACATAATAAATAAAACTGAGTTTCATTAGTCACATACAATTATTTCTCTGTGTGAAGTTGACCTCTCTGTGAAAAGCAAAGCAAGAGGGCTGAGCATACTCTACTTTCTCTTTGATGTTTTGTAGGATATAGCGAAAGATGAATGTTCGATGCTGAGGCTGCAACTGAAGGACAGGGAGGAGCTCATTTCTCAGCTCCAGGCAGAGCTGGTAAGTGATTGGCTGGAGCAGTTACTTACTTTCAGAGTTATTTGCTATAAACCTTTATCTATTGACACTAACATTATTATTTATGTTTTATGACTGATTTAATATGACTGTCAATTTTATCAATCTTTAGTAATGAAAGTTGTAGTTCTTTGGTGACAGGAAGAAAAGAAGTGATGTTTTACATGTACAATAACATAAGTACTTCTACAAAATGGTGCAATCCTTCAGTTGTATCTATAATAATAAAGGCTAAGGGCGCAATACATTTTGTATACTATATGATTTCCATCCACACTGAGATGGCTAGAGAGAAAACTTAATAATATGAAAGAAATCATTTATTATTCTTGCAAACTAAGCAGGTCTTCCATTTATTTTCATAATTACAAAATGTAGCTTTTTGTCAATCCACTGAAGATTTTTCAATAAATGCACAACTCTCATAAATACAGAATATCTATAGTTTATTTTGGTGTTGAGGTTATCATAAAGAAATGTTAGAAATCAAATGTTTAGAACAGAATAACATGTTTGCTGTGTAGAAAAAAATGGGAATTGTTTTTCTAGGTGTTTTAATTTATATACATTATGAGAAACAATTTAAAATGAGTATTAGTACTCAGGATGTAAATAAAAATCATAGAATCATAAAACAAGGAGGTTAATCCATTGTGAATACTTAAGATGCCAGCAATATAAATATAATACAGCAGAAAACACTATGACACATTATCAGCATTACAAAATAAGTACTAGTTAGAAATATATTATAAGATGACATAACAGTTGACTATATCAATGTTGGGGTATTATAAAATGCAACTTAGTGGCATAACTGAGTCACAGACCAACGTGCTTTTGAGTACTACTAATATACTAGCACCATGTCACAATCATAGTACATTTTAGGGATCTAAACAGTTGACAGTGTTTTTACTGACCCTTGACCCTCATTGACAATAAGGGTTGAGAGTCACAAGCATGTCTGTATGTCTTCACAAGCTGCTAAATTACTACTTAAAAATAGGAGATCATTCACAGACAAGAAGAACATGTTCTATACTATAAGAAATATCCATTTAAAGGATCAGCAGATCCTTTTAATTATTTTATATTAATTATTTAATTATTTTATATTAATAGTACAGATAGTATCTGTTGCATAATACAAAAGTGTATGTTTAATATATTCCTCTAGGCCAGTGGTTCTCCACCTTCCTATTGCTGTGACCCTTTAATACACTTCCTAATGGGTAACCCCATGCTATAAATTTTATGTTGCTACTTTATAACTATAATCTTGCTGCTGTATGAATCACGATGTAAATATCTGATATACAGGATATTTGATATGTGACCCCTGTAGCGATCATGACTCACGGGTTGAGAATTGTTGCTCTAGGCATATATTGTAACTGAGCTTTTGTTGCAAGACATAGAAAATATCTTTTCACTTAGAAAATATCTAGTACAGATACCTATTATCAAATTGAGTAATCAATCTTAAATTATAAGATCTGTTATTAGCTATTATTAGCTATTATCTGTTAAAATTATCTGTTCAGCCACTTTGATCAGGAGCACTAATTTTCAATAATTAACTCAGAAAAAAAGAGATTATTCATCGTTCTTCTTACCACCAGTCTGATCAGACTTAGGACATAGAATGTCCAAGAAACAGATCTTTCTTTGTTCAGTGAAATGTGAAGGAAATCATCGCTTGCAGAGCCAATTCTACAACTATGATTACAATGATTCAGTGTCCCTCCCTCCAAAAATGGGGCTTGTCTAAATTGACTACTTACCCTTGAAATTTTCCAAAGTAATAATCATGGCATCATTTCAATGTCTGGGTTGCACAGTTTGCATAAACATGAAGAATGTTTTAACAAAAGACTGATTTTACCTTTTGCAGTGAAATTTGTTTTGGTAAAAGGACTTTTCAAAGGTAAGGAAGAAGGTGTGATGATTTAGAAAAAGCATGTTAAAAAGAAAAAACAATTAGATCTGAAGTAATCATGAGACACCCAGTGATGAGTAATTTCTCTGCCGCTGCTGAAATGAGCCAATTTAAACCAGATTAGATTATCTTCAAGGCCATTTTATTGGGAAACTGCTCTTGGGTTCACTGGCCACAGGATTGAGTCCAGGGGAGTCACCATGTGGAGGGAGGAGAGGAAAAAAAGAAAGCAGAAAGAGAAGAGTATAGAGGAAGAGAGAGGGAGAGAGGGAGAGAGGGAGAGAGGGAGAGAGAGAGAGAGAGAATGAGAATGAATGTCTGGATTATATAAGGATGAGTCTGGGGAAAGGACAGGGTTCAGGGCAGGGTATGCCAGGTAGGGAATGAGGGATGCTGGGAGATCCTGGAGGCCAGGCCTGCTCTAATGTGTAAAATATGCGCATCGCTCTTTTTTTTTAAAGATTTATTTATTTTCTTTAGATATGTGAGTAAATGTTGCTCTCTTTAGACACACCGGAAAAGGGAATTGGATTCCATTAGAGATTATTGTGAGCCACCATGTGGTGGCTGGGAATTGAACTCAGGAACTCTGGAAAATCAGTCTTCACCTCTCAACCATCACAGACCTCTCCAGACCCCACATCAGTCCCTTGACCATGGGTCCAAACCCAAACACACAGGACTTTACAAACTGCTGCAATCAATGCAAGATATGGGCCAAAGTGATTCTGGTTCTGAAAACAAGCAACTGTTTTTGTTTTCAGTATGCATTAGTTTGTTTGAGACACTCTTTCATTCTGTATCCCACTGTGGTCTAGAATTTCCCATACATCCATGGCTGACCTTTAATTCATGAAATTATCATGCTTTAATGTCCCAAGGACAGACATTACAGGTGTTAGTCACTGAAACAGGCTAATTTGTGACATTTGATAATTCTGAAATAAAGATCAGAGACCAGTTAGCAGCTGTTTATTATCTATACAGATTAACAACACAATACTTTATAAGTTATTGCATGGGTATTTTAACTCTTATCCATTAATGTTATTATAAGCAAATTCATCTACCCATATATTTCAGAATAAACTTATAAATAATTATTTCATTAAAAGGATAGATTAAGAATGCTTTCTTTTCCAATTGTATTTATTTAGTTGAACACTGCTATTCAGACTTTTCATTCTTGTAATAAATACCTGAGAGGGAAAAAAAATTAAGGAAGAAAGATTTTGGCTCATTGTGTCTGTGTTCTCATTCCTTGATCAGTTAGTTTCATTGTTTTAAGCCTACTGCAGAACCAAACATCATGGATGAAAGAAAGATACATCCTTCAACATTGCTCTGCCAGTGTCTCTCTTCCTCTACGTCTCCCCACCATTGACGTAGTTCAGCTATCTCAAATATACTTTTCACATTTTAATGCAATAGTTGATTACATACTTCATTAGATCAGATTACATGGTATAATCCTTGTTAGAAAAGCCTTCAAATATACCTAACAATATACTCAAGTAATCTCCCAGGTATCTTTTAATAAATATTTATTGAATAATAAATAATCAAGATTATTTGGCACATCTATATAGTTTCATCCAATGTACAGAGTTAATCAGGGGTCAGTTAGTGTTGATACAGAAAAGAAAATTGTAAATGTTTCTTTTTCAGCCATTTCCAATAGTCATCTTCAATATCACCTCAACAATATTATCATCATGCTAGAGTGATTGACTGTTCTGCATGTGATAGGGTTTCAATAGCATCTTCCACTTCCACAGCAGCCTACATAAATTACTAGATATCTAATGTATGTGGAAGTGTTCCCATTTGAGCACAATTGCTTTAGAGGCACCATATTAATTTTCAGTGAAACTGTATAAGTATATGCATATAGATAACCAAGCAGCAAAAATCCTACAGAAGAGATAGGCCTTTCATGTATGTCATAGTTAAGTGTGAGAAAGCTAATTTTTTGTTCTATCTGATAAGGAGTCTGAGATTAAAGTACCAGCTTGGGTGGGTGACAATGAGGACTGTCCCTGGTTGATGGCTGGCCATCTTTTCACTCCATACAAAGAGAGGGGGGTATAGTAAGTTCTGTGGTCTCTTAATCTAATCCATCAGAGACCTCAATCCTGTTACATCATCTAATTAAAGTCACCTCTCAACATTCCTTCTTCCAAAAGGAGGGCACAGTTCTGACCAGAGATCCTAGGTTGTGGTCCTGTTTGTTTATTGTTACTAATCAAGAAGCATTGAAGTCATCAAGTTCTATTAAATATTTCATAAAGTATCATCATTTATTTCTCTTCTCCATAATTTCAGAATTATCACCATAGCTCTCTATTCCCTGCTTCCTGAGTTGTTACACTTTTTAAACCATGTAGATACTACAAAATTCAAAATAATCATTTGATTTTATGTTATACATCCATACTGTTTGAAAAGAGTATCCCATTTATGAACCAGATTCCTAATGAGAGTACATTTTCTATCCAAACTTTCAATTTATCATTTTCTATGTAAAGGGAAGGCAATAAGCAATTAGTTCTCTCAGGATCAATTTCAAGGAGTCTGATATTAACGCCTATGAAATGTTCATGCATTACTTAATTTTATGAGCTTTATTGGTTTCTGACAGATAAAAGTAATGATTTACATGGTTTTATGATGTCCAAGGGAACGCTAATAGTACAATATCAGCTTTCACTGAAATTATATACACCATAGGGCAACAAATTGGAAGGAAAAAAGGAGTTATACACTGTAACCCCTTGTGTTACAACAGAAAAGAACTGGTTGGCTATGGGAATGTCTGCTCCCAGCTGTTTCACTCCACAGAGCATGCCCAACCAGATGCACATCACAAGGAGAAGGAAAATGTTGTCACTCCATTCTGGCTTCTTACTTAGCAGTGTTTTGTGTTGACCCTGAGGTTAGGTGGCTTATGTAAAGTAGATCTTATCTCCATATCTGTCTGTAAATCTCTTTCTTTCTGACCTTCTTGACCTCTCCTCTCTATCCTCCTCTTCTTACACCC